AATATTTTCAAAGAAAAGTCATTACGAGCATGTTGCTGATAAGCATAAAATGTAGATAAAGATAAGACGAGATTGCAAAAAGGAAGAGAACTATTCCGCTTCCACGTAAGACCGGCAATCGAGAGGTTTATCGAGGCACAAAGATTTCTTTGATATTTTCAATAATGAATTTAAAGGGATTTGTCGATGTCGCGTTTTTTTTATTTTGTTCGACTTTTTTATTCTTCGCTATTATGCGACTTAACCGCATCTTCAACCGATGAGAAATTCTCTCACGTCCATTACATCACGACGACAATTACATAGTTCCTTTCTTCTAGCTGTTGAAACTTAACAATAATGAGAACGAGAATGGCAAAGTCAGCGAGAAAATGTTCAGAAACTGCCAATTAATTAGAGAAACATGCGCTTCGCGAAATTAAATGTGCGAGAAAAATGTACATTGTTTGTGAAGTTAATGATATAATGCAGCTTTATTGTTTTTCACGATTGCGATTAATAGTTTACTTTCTACAATTATATAATACCCTTAGCAGGTTTGTAATAATTTAACACGGATTAAAGGTTCAACTTATAGCATTTTTATATTATACAAAATAGTTTTTATTTTTTGCCATTTTTGAGAAATAAATGTACGCAGCATTGCAGTTATTAAGAACTGAATTTAGACGAGACATTTTTCTGAATGCTTACGCCACTGGCCAGGCAGGGGGGATATCGTCATATCCCGGACGAAGACAGGAAACCTCCAAGTAAAATTCCCCTCCGGTCGTACGCGCGTATGCGTCAACAAGCATCGGCGTACGTTTGATTGTGAATGAAAGCAGAAAAGAAACGATCGACGAGCGAAAGCGGAGTGATGAGCACAGTGAAAATCGCGCGATCAACATGAGTGAATATTTTTCATTATCGACGAGAAGAGTGAATACGCTAAATGAGATCGAGATCCAAAATATTTCATTTAAATATTTGATGAAAGTGTTTATTGAAATCATTTACTGCGTAATTTTTGCAATTATTTTTATTTATTTAGATATATGATATATTAATTATTAGACTTTGTATTTGGAGTGAAAACCAGGAAGGGAATATGTTAGAATCTGAAATATCGTAGATATATATCACAGCAAGCATTAATTGTCATTTTAGTACCAATCTACAGTCACATAACCGTCTTAAGCATGAAAGCAGTATATTACGGGCACGCTAGGATTGACCTAGAAAAATCGAAAATTGCAACACAAAGCGGATTCGTAATTGGAGCAAATGGCCCATATGGCATTATAAAATGTTAAAGGCCTGTGAGTGCACGCACAGTCGCTGCGGTCTAATTTCACGTACATATATACGTACACAAGTGCATTTAGATTCCAGGGACACGGTATCCATTTCAGTTCTCTTAACATTTGGCGCATGACATATAGCCGATAGCTGCTTTATTCTATAACTACGTAAGTTAAGAGATAACGTAACATAGATAACATAGGAGTAGATAAAACATTCTTTCATTTTAAATCTTACAATTATATACAATCTATTAATGAAATATTTACAGTATATAACAAAAAGTATTGTAAATTTTTTTATTAATAGATTGTTTCTAATTGTAAAATGTGAAGCAAAAGAATATTTGCTGTTCACTCCTTTATGTATGCCAATATTTTACGAAAAAAATATTTTTGTTATATATAAAAATAAAACGAATATTCGAATTATTTTGTTCAAGCTGAAAAATCTATTTTTCAAAATATTTTAATTAAGTTTTTTTTTTT